AAGTAGTGGCGGAATTCCTACGCATAATAATAAATCTACGTTCTTTACAATTTATTAAACTTGGTGATGACTCTCAATTCATAGCAACATCAAACATCATTATTATTCAAACATTTAAACACTTTAAATTTAATTCTTGAATAATTAGTGACCACATAATATTTAATGTTGAACCCTTTTAAATATACCTCGGTGTCAAAGACACCTTAGTCGCGTAATGCGCCAAAAATCCAATCCCTCGGTGTTAAAAACACCTTAAGTGCACTAAGGCACCAACATACAATTGATTCCTCGTGTACTTAGACACTTACTTAGCTCCTTTCTTATGCCTAAAGCATCAATAAATATTATATGAACCATAATAAAATTCTCTTTTAATATTCTAATCCAAATTAAACATTTAGTTTAATTAAACATGCTTCCTATCATGCCATAAATAAAAGTGTGGTTCATATTCAACATTCCAACTATTATTTTCCAACCATTAATCCATCACAAATAAATCATGCTTCATAATTCAATCACCAATAACAACCAAATCACAATTTCCATTCCAAATCTAGCATGATACTACTTGTAATCAATTAATCACATTTAGCATGCTATTACATCATCAAAAATATGCTAAGTACGCGAACGTACCCTGAATACGATCTTAATATATATCGCCACGACTAATAGAAATCACTCATCGAAGTCTCCTACAATTTAAAATCATAGAAGAGTATTAAAATCCTCTCTACACAAATTTCCAGCAATATATACTATTATTAAACACTTCATAATTTAATTAAAATAAGCTAAAATTATATTTAAAACATCATACTTTAATCCCAATTAATGGGTAATTAAAATTCCTTACGGAAACTTGATTTTTAATGTACTACCAAAAATTCCAACACTAAATTTTAATGAAAACTTGCTGTAATTAGGCTTTAAAACATTTAAATCAAAGGTTTAAACCATCCTAAATCATAATCCTTCAATAATTAATAATTTATGAATCTAGGGTTTCAAAATTGGGGCTTTTTAATTAGAATTCAAATCTGAAAATTAAATTACATGCTACTTATAATCAAACATCATAATACTAATCACAAAACCCATATTTAATAATTAGATCTTGGTTTAAATCAAAATTTAAAACAAAGATTATTTTTTTTTCGAATGAAGAAGGGCAGCCGGACAGCAGGCCGACGCCACTGCCGGCCGCTGCTTCCGGCTGGTGCTGCTGGTGGGCGGCGGCCCACCGGTGGTGGTGGTGTCTAGTGAAGGCCGAAAAAGGGGAAGGGGAAAAAGGAAAGGAAAAATAAAAGAGAAGGGAGAGAAAGTTTTCCTTGGGTTTTCTCCACTCTGGGCAAAGTTTGATTTGTCCCAAGTGTTGAATATTTATATATACCCCTTCTCTAGAAACCTTTCTTCCTAAACTTTCCTTTTTTTTTAATCTTTCCTAATCCATTTCCTAATAAAACTATAATAAAATAAAACTTTTTAATTTAAACCCCAACTTAAATAAAATAATTAATTAAATAAACTTTCCTTTTATAAAATATTTCTAAACTTATTAAAATAAATAATTAAAATACTATTAATAAAACATTTTAATTTATTTAAATACTTCACAAAATACTTATTTTAAATAATATACGTATAAAAATACGGGGTATTACAGTCAGTGGCAGAGCCACGTTGTGACCTGGTAGGGCATGTGCCCTACCAAGTTTTTTTTAAAAAATAAATAAATAAGTTAGTCAAAATTTTGTTTAAATAAAATACAAAATGTCTTATTATATTAGAGCTTTCTAGTAGCCTACTGGTTAGAGCATTTCCTTTTCATTCAAAGGTCATGGGTTCTAATCTCTTGTCAAACGTTTTGTTTATTTTTTTCTTCCACTCTCATTTTTTATTCTTCTTAATGTCCCTTTTTTTTTCTTCTCTTTTCTCTCGATGTCCTATTTATCCAATTTCCCAAATAACACAAAACTTACCAACATAAAAGTTTGATCACATTGGGCAAGATTACTTTTCTACCAAAGATAATGAAATTGTTGATACAATAATTTGCTTTCAAAACTTGAAAACTAGTCAAGTTTAATTTTAACATTTCTTTTCACATGTATGAGTATACTTGAACGATTAGTTATAAATCCTTATAATTATTGTTTTGGATCGATCATCCTATTTGATACGAAAAATCTATTAGATTCCAAACCTATTATAAAAGATCTAAAAAATAAAAACGAGGTTAGTTTTTAAAGCGTTAAATAAGGGTAATATTTGATGTATTTTTGAATAATAAGGGTTTGACAAATATGATTGCTAAATAATTTTGATTCTTGATATTATGAACATTCTTTCACAATTGTGTCTGATTTACGAGTCTCTTGTTTACAAATTTAAAAAAAACTATAAGGAGTGAGATCTCATATATACTAGCTATAGCCACGAAGTCCCGCCCGTTGCCATTGGATGTTTCTTGATATTTCCGAAAGGAGGCACGGGATTTTTCTTTATTGATGTTCTAAATGGGAGCATGGGAGAACAACCTTGTCTATTGCTTAATCTAATGAATATAATGAAATAAATTAATTATTATTAATTAGTGAAGTCTCAGAAATGTTTGATTAATTTAATCGTGTGTAATGATTGATTATTAGTAGAATGCTAAGAATTCTTTATTATATTTTGTAGCTTGTATGTACTCAGCGTTGCTGATTGCGTGCTTTTGTGTGTCTTTCCTTGGTCATGGCCTTCGCCTTTCAATGACCCTGTAATGATCCAATTTTTACACTTATAATATTGGGGAACAGAATAATTACAGGTTTTTTTTTACATAATCGGAACTTGCATCAAGGTGGTGGGATTTTGAGTGGAGTGTTGGATATTGTCCATAGTTTATTTCATAAGTTTGGATTTAGTCAAATTCTGGTTTGATTTATTTATTACTTTTGTTGGGTTTTGAATAAGGGCCTTAATGGTTCTAACTTGTAAGGGGTCGTTTGGTTCACATGAGGGAATCAGAATGGAATGAACAAAGGGAAAGAAGAAGAATGGAATGAAAATACCTAAATTTGTCATGTTGTTTGTTTTAAAACAAAGGGAAACAATCCCACTAGTCCCACCACCACATAACCACCAAGTCTAATTGCTTTCCACCTTTTTCAGCCACCAAAACACTCACCGCACCTCCCCCACCGTTCGCCGCCGTTCGCCACCCTTCTCCCGTCCCTCGTCAACCCCCAGCGGAGGTCGTCCCTCCCCTGAAAACCTCCTTAGCCTAGAAAACCCTAGCGCCGCTGAAAAACCTCGACACTCCCCGTGAAACCCGTCGAACGACCCTCCCCCACCCTCGAAACCCTAGGCGCTAGGGTTTCGAGGGTGGGGGAAGGTCATTCGCCTGTTTAACAGTGAAGAGGATGGGTTGTTTAGGTGTTTCGATGGTCGTGGAGGCTAGGGGAAGAAGCGGCGAACGTCGGGGAGAGGCGGCGAACGTCGGGGAAGGGGCAGCGAAGGTCGGTGGAGTAGTGGAGGTGCGACCGTGTGGTGGAGGTAAGGTAAAAGGGTGGTGGCTAGGTGTGGGTGTGGTGGTGGAGGGGTGGTCAAGGAAAGGGAATGGAAAAGTCTTGGGGGGTGGGGAATGAAGTTGGAAGGATTTGGGGTAATGGAGAGGGTAAAGGGAATGAAAGAAAGTGCTTAACAAACAACAACAAAGGGAATTGGAGTAGTTGATTCCCATTCCCTTTGTTAAATACCCCCAACCAAACGACCCCTAACAGTTAATTTGGTTTTGATCACTGGTTTTGAAACTTATTTATAATTGATTTAGTTTTTTCGTTGTTAAATTCTTAATTAGCTTAACGTTTGAACACGTGGCGGTAGCCCGTTAGTAATTCTCTTGCAATTTATCAATGGTATTTACATGTTTAAAGAGAGAATTATAGGGGTGTTATAATATGATTTTTTTTTTATATATAAAAAATATCATGAATAAAATTTAAGTTATAAGTAATAAAAAAAAGAGATTTTTTTTGGGAAAAAAAAGAGAGAGAGAGAGATTTATGATTATTTTAAAATTAAAACAATTCACAAATTTTTTTAAGTTAATTAAATATAAAATATTATCTTTTGACATTAAAAATTCTATCTAAATACTATACAACAACATAAGATAAAATTCACAAATTTTTTAAAATATGAAAATTAAATAATATACAAGTATACAATGAATAAAATTTCAAATTTTATCACATAAATATATACGATATTTGTTTTAAAAATACAAATAAACCATATGTCACACAGATTTCATATTTTCATCTAGACTTTCATTAAAAAAAATACACAAAAAGCATACACAAAATAAAACATTAGACAAAAAAAACCCTAGCCTCTCTTTCCTCTCTTCTCTCTCTAAAACTCTAGCCTCCATTGTTGAATTTTGGAGGGGCTTCCATCGATTTTTATAGGTGAAAAGCCCCAATTATTTGTTGTTGTGTGCTTTTTCCTTTTGTTTTAGGTTTATAATAATTATTCCTCTTCTAGGAGAAATATTTCTCCCTAAAAAAATAGGGGTTTTCTTTTTCTTTAGGAGGATTTGACTCCTTCGAAAGACCGATGTTTTCTTCTCTCTTCTGAGGGAGGATTTGCTTTTTTATTTTATGGATTGCTATAGAATTGTTTCATGGGTAAAATTTGTGTTGGGTCGAAAAAGAGGTTAATATTTCGATTACAATCTAGCGAATTAAACAGAAATTTTCTACATGACTACAACAGATCGATAAACTCCATCGCCGATGAAGGCTGTAAATCACAGCGATATGAAATAGCGTATGAAGAATGTACGATTTGCAACAATGATCGTAGCTTTGTTTACGGAATGTTTTTATTTGATTCAATTATTATGTATTTATTATACCTAAATCTTTTTATATATGTATGACTTTATTTATGAATTAATTTTATTTTTAAAAAAATAAATAAAACATTAGACATTTGATTTGACAACATATTGCCGACCAATTAGATGTCACATAGCGATTTGCGCGTACTAGGCAAAAAGTTATGGGCAACAAGGACACCTGCCAAGCTCACTCCAAACACCTTCATAAAATAAAAAATACACCTACAATTTTCATGTTTCATGACTTCGCAAAATTCCCATCATTCACCTCCATTATCATCTAACGCTTACAGTTCTTTTCTGCACTTGCTAATTTTTCTCTTTCTCTCTCCTAAAATTATTGTTTTCAATTTCACTTTCTACCAATGATGCTAAGAACTAAGCTTTGTGTTCGTAATAATGTTCCAATTTTAGGGTTTGGTCCTTCTTCATCTTCGGATCAATCTAATGTGTTAAGTCATTCATTATCGTTTCCTAATTCTTGTCGATTTTCTTTGCAATTTTTAGCCCTTTCAAACCCTAGAAAATTTCATAAATCCGCTTTTATGAAATGTAAAAGTCACTCTCATGGTAGATTTTATCCCGAATCACATCACCATCAACCTGATGATGAGTATTTAGAAGCTTCCCTATTGATTTCAGGTATATAATTTCCAATTTATTTCACTTTTTTCATGTTTTTTGTATTGATTTTAGTTACGTAAGCTATGTTTTCTATGCAAATTGGGGGAAATCACTCAATATTATAGTGAATTGGGTTTTGTAATTAAATTTAGTAACTTTTGGGGTAATGTATTTTTCTGGGGTTGGTTAATTTTAGATGTTAATGGTCAGGCAAAGCGTAAATCTCACATAGATCACCGTTGATTGATTTGATTTGAAGTACTGAAAAACTTGCTACACCTAGAAATCCTATCAGATATTGATGCTCATATATGGTAATATTTGTTACAAAGAGGAATTTCGCACAGTGACAACCCACATTGATTGAAACAATTACTGTACAGTTCTCCGTCCTCCCAGCAATCGTTGTTGACATTGTCGTATTGTCCGAACCCTTATAACTCAAGGCTTTGGTATGCTATACTAAGTTGCCCTATATAAGGCTATAATTTAGTGGGTGTTAATCCTAAGCACTTGGGGACAGATGTGAGTTTATAAAATTATTCCCCCCAAGTGTATATACACTTCTGAAGGGATGGAGTATATTACTAGATGGGATGATTCAGGGTATTGAGCTGTGCAATGTGCACAGCCTTACTTGTTTGAAATCGATACTAAGAGGGTAACTCATATTGAAAAGCTCAGAAAAGAAACCATTTTGAATCAGTGCAAGGGATATATTGTTGCCTTTGTATATGTAATCAAATTATGTAAAAAAAAGGGGTGGGGTGGGGTGGGGTAGAGGGCAGTAATACATTACACTTGACCTTTTGTTCGCGTTAAATCATTTCATGACCCTTTCTCACCCTAAAAGCCCTGTCTTTGTTTAGCAACAAACTGAAAAGGAATGCAATCGCTGAATATACTTCTTACAAGTCTACGGATGAATCAGTAGGAGCTTCTGTATAAGAAGATCAAGGTTCATGCTAAAGCAAATTTTGAGTTTTCACAGGAAAAAATCTCTTCTGATGCTTTAGACTTGTTTATAGTTAGTAGTCTAATGAGCTTTTGTAGTTAATTGTGTTAATATCATAATATGTGCGGAAAATCAATTCTGTGATGTACTTGTAAGACTAAGAATTAAGATGATTAGCGAATGGATGAAAAGTCTGCACAATTCCAATTATAATTCAAAATTGTAATGGCATGCTTTGTTTCTCCTCAAATACTTTCACCAAGTGCTTTTAATTTTAATGTTTGTAAGAATTTCTCAATCTGAATGGATACATTGTACACATAAACTATGGAGATGGAGATGTGATATCATATTTGCAAGATATATATATATTTTTTCCTGGCAGTCTTATAATCCTACTTGGTTTGCAGAGACTGTGAAGCATTACCATTTGCGAAAGCAAGGATTTCTAGAGGTCAAAAGGGTTTCTCGACAATCTGCTCCTTTCCCTACTCAAGTGAAAGATCGTAAAACCGATGTCAACGCCATTGGATTAAACATTCTTCGTAGTTTTCGGCATCCAACTATTTTTCTTAAGATATCTTGTCAAGGAGACTTTTTGCTTCCCATTGTTGTAGGTAAGGAGTCTGACTATCCCTCAGTGTTGCTGTTTAGCTGATAAAGATTTTCATCATACAACCGTTTGGTTACAATATGTGATTTGCATTAACTTAATGCAGGAGAGTTTGCTGTTGAGAAACTTATTGATTCCTTAAATGAGGATGATCATGGGGTAATTTCATATCTGAAGTGGATATTTTTTTCAAATACTTTTCTCCTTTGGAAGAATGATTTGCAGATTATTTGATTCTGCTATTCAATATTTTCTTCCTTGATTTTTCTGCAGGATTACTCAAATCAGTTCCAATTTTTGAGAAATCTTATGGTTGGACTTGAAAATGAGGTACATTGTTAACTTTATTACCTTTAGACATCCCAAGCTCTTCAATCAGCAGCCACTTTTATACTTTTTTCCCCCTTTCTACAGTTTCTTAAAGGTCATCGTGTTATCAAAAATATAAATAAGCATACCTTATAGAATTCGTCTCCTTTTCGGATTATGATTAAAAGAGTCACCATTACTCAATGAAAAGTATTCCAGCATCAAGGGACTAAGACTACTATCTTAGTAATCTGTAATTCATGTATTGTCTGTTGTCAAGTAGCAGTTCTTGCAATACATTTTGCTGCTATCATTAGGATAGTGCTGCATAAGCTTTAACTGCTCCACGTTGCCATAGGCAGGAACCTTCTTTAGTGAATGCGTATGTTGTTATCTTCTGGTGTTCTAGAATTTTGGAGGTTCTCTTCTTCAGTTTATACGCTGTATGTATTAGTGATTTTCAGAGCTCCTACTTCTTGGATTTAATAATTGTTACTTAGACCAAGGAATTGTGACCAACTACGTAGTATGTAATCATAAAGGAATCGTAGGCCTCGAGTACAATTTTGTTTATATTAAATCTTGTCTCATCATTGTGTTTCCCTTTGATCAATCTGAATTGATCTCACTTAAAACTGTTATCAGTCCGGACAATTAAGAGGTTGTTTGGATTTGTGATGATGAACTCTGATTGCATGTCTTAAAGTTAGTATGTGCTTTTGGCTGACAACAGTAGCTATGTGACCTCCATTGGATGAGATTAATGAGATCAAAGTTGGGGTCTAGTTTCTTTATATGCCTCTAGTGAGTGCTTAGTCATTCTTGCTATTATTGTTTTCTCCAAATATCCTTTAGAAATTCAGTCATGGTACATTTATTCTCCTTTGTTCTCCAACTGGATGTTTTGTATAGTTTATTACTATAGCTGATGTCCATCCATCACATTTTTTATTGTTTAAAAGACACTTCAGTGTTTATAGAGACTTTAAGTATTCTTTAGCTTCTATTGTTTTCCGTCTTGGTATGTGCTGTCATTTTAGAACAAAACATAGTAATGTTTAGTCACCAAAATTGGGAGCAAATTGGCTTCCCACTTTTTATGCCTTTGAGATCTGAATCTATCTATTGAAATATTAATATGTATCCCTATATCAGTTTTATGTCCGTCTTCAGTGTACATAAGTGCCCCTTTTTGTATTATCTTCCATTCTGCTGATAATGGGGTTCTTCTTTTGTAAAATTTTTCTTGTTATCCTTGTAGAAGGCTTTAGTATTTCAATATGACTGGAGTTGATGTTTGTTTTTGAGTGAGTCATCTCTTATTGTATTCTTCCATCTCAATTGTTAGGTGAGGATGGTGAAAATTACCAAAAGGACGGTCGACACTTACTTTTCCAGAGTATATTTTGGCAAAGTAAGTTTTTTGTTTTCACAAATTTGGTTTTCCAGCTTAGGCACAATTAGTGTGATTGTTTGTGTTTTCTAAGAATATTCTGGCTCATGGCAGGTTGGAGAGAGGGAAAATTTTAGTGTCGATGCACAACCATCAGATGCTATCAACTTAGCCCAAAGATGTAAGGTACATATTTTACATACTTAATCAGCGTCGATTGAGAATTTTATTTTTTAATTTTTTTTATATGCTACAATTCTTTTTATAAATAACTAGTCATTGACCTGGGTAATGGCCCTGCCTGAGTCATTACTTGTAATTTCCTTTTTTTTTTTTTTTAATTCTGGAAAATATAAATTTAACTATATATATTTTGAGAAAAAAAATTGGTTAACAAACAATTAGCCAACTGAATATTTTACTTGATCTTTTGTATTTCAATTATAATAAATTTCTTACACTATACATTTTTCATCGAGTTGCAAAGCCGTTATATATTTTGAAATATAAAACATAACACACTTAGTTTGCTAAAAAAAAGTGCAACCTTATTCTCCTATTTTTTTTTAGGCTCCTATTTTTCCCAATTTTATGTGTGATCTATATACGATTTAAATAAAAGAATAAAGATCAAGCTAAAATTGTTATCACAAATTATTACCCAAAATATAATTGTTTAGGGATTAAATTATTATCATATATACTACCTCCGTTTCTTATTATGTGCAACAAAGGAATATTTTATGTCTCACAAATAATACCTCTTTGTTGCACATAATAAGAAACGGAGGTAGTATATAACTGTTTTATAGTCATAAGTATTGTTATTGGAGTGGTGGCTCATTTATGAATGCGAGGTCAGGAGTTCAAGTCCTTCAAAGCATGGATGCCAACATTTTTTTGTGAGTAGTTAATAACTTAATATTGATCGTGTGCGCATGACATGTCACGACTCCATGTCATTTGCCAAGTGATGGTGACACATGGAGAGAAGACATCTATCACCTTTGGAGTTCAATAATATAGTTGGATGTTATTAGTGTTTTCTGCTAAGACTTTTTCTGGAAATGTTAGTATTGCAAAAATAGCCAAAAGTGTTAAAACATAGTGATATATCTACTTTCACAGCTCTCAAGTATTAGTTGCTACTCTGCTTTTGTACTGCAAATGGTGCCCTTTGAAAGTTTGAAGGAGACCTTTATGTGTTCTTGAATTGGGTGCTCTTCATAATTTATGAATCAGAATCCAGGATTCATCTATTGGATGTCGATTCATTTATGCTTTATTGTAGTTTATTTTGTAGTTTCTCTTGACTTTTATGTTTTATAAACTGCTGCCTTTGGTACTGCTCCAACTATTGTTTTGATAATTAAATTATGTTGCACAGGCCCCAATATTCATAGATAAGCAAATTGTCCTCATGGATGCTATCAGGATTAGCTATGGGACCGGCAGAATTCGTGATAAAAAACCTATCTATGACGTATTATTGGACAGGTATTAACCTGAGTGTTCAAAAAGATTCTTAATTCAGTGATCCTGATAGGTTGTCTATTTAACATTAGCATATTTATTTATAAAATTTCTGTAACCAGTAATCAACTTAATTGATGCAGCCCCATGGACGGTCCAGATCCGTTGGCTGAGGAATTTAATCTTGTGCTGAATATGAAGTTAGCAGCGCAAGAAGAAAGGTACAATGACGCAGGTATGCAGTAGGTTAACAATGTAACCACCACATCGCTCTTAGTTTGTTATTTGTTAATATTGCTATCGACTTTCAATCATTTTATTTTGTCTAAATTATGATGTGCAGCAATGTGGAGGGACAAACTTTTAAAGCATTCTAATTCTAGAATTCAAATATCACAACCAAAAAACTGGCTCGAGTCACCGATCCCAGATTTGCCTTGATTGAAACATTAAAGGAGAAACTGACCAGATATATTCGATTATGGTGCAATCAACAGATAAGGCATCACATCCTAGAAATAATTGTGATGTTTCTGTGCTAACAGGAAAAAGCATACTTAGGAGTTGTACAGGTTATTTTTATGATTAGTTTTCTTATTTAGCTGTAAATATTTTTTAGCTGTAAATATTTTTTAAATAGTTCACAAGTAAGCCTATAGGTCGTTCGAACCTCATATATCGTGTTTTATAAGAATCAGAAATTTACAGGTGGTGTGCTGACTGTTATGGAAATTGTATTCCTGTTTATAGTGAATGGTTTGCCAAAAGTAGGATTTTATTGATGAATCTCTTATAATGGCTAGCCGAAGAATTGAAATATACGACATGGCTTATGCAGTGGCACAATGATCATTCCCTCACCTTGAGCAACTCTAATATATACAAAAAAAAAAAAAAAAATCGCTCACAACTAGAACCAACTTTGAAGTTTGTCTGACCATTTTATATTCTTCATTGCTAAGCCAAGATGAGTAATATGTCAATTAGCTTTTTACATTAAACAAAACAAGAAATAGAAGGCAAATGCCATGGACATTATAACCAAATTCTTAGCTCAAGGCTTACAGAACGATACCTGAAATGTACAACTTGATAATATATACATACGGATTACAATTTTCAGATGTGCACTACAACTATTCATCACATCTTAAGCTATTACTATTAACAGCTTCTGCTAAATTTCTGTTGGAAGTTCACTCTGAGTCCAAGCAGAATAACCACCAGCGATGTCAATGATGCCTGTATAGCCCTGTAATTTAAGAATGAAATGTCATTAGGCCGCGACAATCTCTCAACAATCCCCTTTAAATATGCCCTTTAATATTTTTTTCAATGCCATAATTTAGGTGATTTCAGAAAAAAAGTTCTACATATAATTTATTACTAACAGGTTTCCAAAAAAAAAAAAAAATAAAAAAAAAATAAATAAATAAAATTATTACTAACAACTTTTAACCAACTTATATATCATTAATATGAAAGAGACCGGATATCATCTAGTTGGTGAATTAAGAGTTCATGTGAAGTTGTGAACTAATTAATAACATATTAACATGCAATATTGTATTGGAGTGCAAGAAAACAGCAATTCGTTTCTTTCTTAATAGAAGAATTTATTAAGAAATAAAAAAAATAATAGAAGAATTTATTCATAAATATCCTAAGCAATCTTCTCATGGATTGTCTTGGTTAGATTAAGCAACCCAAAAATATTAAGTTGGATTAAGGAATTAAGCAACAAAAAATTATCCTCAAGAGATAATTAATAGTACCCAAATTTATTTATTTTGAAGGAAAATAGTCCCCAAAAAAAGTTTATGACTAATGACATGTAACCAACTCGATTCATGAACATGAAAATGACCATATAGAGTTGTCGTGTATTATACGTCTAATTTCTTAACTTCACGATATTAATGGGAAGTGCAGCTTAGGCCCTGTTTGGTTTGATGTAAAATGTTTTCATAGAAAATGAATTTTCCATTTTTTCCCATTTTCCTTTGTTTGGTTTGTTAAGGAGTGTAAACAATTTTTCAAAGGTGGAAAATTTCATCCTTAATGATGGAAAACATTTTCCTTTTAGAAACAAGGGAAGCTACATTTTCCTCTCTTCTCCTTACCTCTTTTTTTACTTCCCTCTCATTCATCCTTACATTTCCACTCTTATTTTTTATTTTTCTTGGACTTTTCTTGTATGCAACCAAACAAAGGAAAACTAATTTGCAATTGTGTTTTTCTTTGAAAATATGTTTTCCATGAAAACTAATTTTCCATTGAAAATGTTTTACATTAAACCAAACGGGGCCTTAATTAAGGAAGATGATTCATCAGTATGGACTATATCAAAAGTAATATTCAATACTTACAGCAGATTGAAGATCATTTGCAGCCATAAGAGATCTCTTTCCACTTTGGCAACCCTGTTTATACATAAACATATAAATATTGTAAAAAGGGAAAAGAAGAAAACAACAGTATATATTTATATATGGTTCTTAAATGTTATATGCAATGTGTACAAAGGTTTAAAGTTATGGATCAAACATACAACAAGAATTTCATCATCTTTGCTGAATTGTGATTTCACTTGTTCAAGAAAATTGGGGTTCTTTGTCATCCCTGCATCAATTGGAATGATAGAGTAGTCAGCAAAATACGACAATATCCAATTTGAATTATCAAACATTAATTACGAAGTTCATAAATCTTGTTTGATTATCGGAATTTTGCCAGTTTTTTACTCAGTCTTGAGAGTTTTTCATACTATTAAAATTGGCCTTACCAACTATTATTGAAAAGTTGGCTTGCCTTAGACCAAGTTTTCTCATTAAGTGAACTACTTGCTAACCAATGAATTTATTAAATATAGATATATAACAAGTAATGCTAACATATGAGTTATAAAGTAATCCATAAAAACAATTTATATTACTACTGGTACTAGGTAGATAAACAAGCCAAGTGGATCAAACCTGAACCAATTCGTAACATGTAAGGGATGTTCACAGCCCCGGGTACATGCCCAGCAGTGAACTCTTCCGGAGTCCTGCAAATTTTATCCCAGGCACAAATCAAAAAATTACTTTTGATGATAGGGAAAGGGCTCAAAAACAAACATTATATCTACTAAATAGTAGCCTAATACAAAGTACAGTATGTAGATCCACAAAAAGGGAGATTTTACCGGACGTCCAAGTAGCTATGGCCAGCTAGAAGAAGCTCATGAGCGACACGAACTGGTACAGATGTTGGAGCTGCAGTAACCTCCACATTGCTAGTCGTTCCAGCTCTCCTTGAACTATGGAATTTCATCGGTTTATCAATTATTTGCGTTTTAAGTAGAAATTAAACTAATATATCCATTTTTTTTTTTCATATATTAAAAAGAGTTCCTAAAAATATCTATATGTCATATTCTTGCATTAGCATCATGCCCATCATTACATATTTGTTTCATCTCCTACAAAGTTTGAACACTAAACATCATTGAATGAAAACCACAAATATTACCACCTAAGTTAAAAATAAATTATGTTCAATTAATCCATACAAACATATAAATAGAAAATAGAGTGTAGAATAAAAGAAAAACTAATCCAAATTTATTTATTGTTGTCATTGCATAATCGTATTTTAATGTCAAAAAAAAAAAAAAAAAAAAAAAAAAAACCTCAAAGTAACACCTGGAGGCTAGTGCAATGCCAAAGTCACACACGTACTAGTTTAAATTATTGAATCAATTTGTTAAATGGGACTAGACTCCCTTGTTAACCAAATCAAATAAAATTTAGAATGAACTATAAATGCCTTCATTATCTAGATGTCAATTAATTTAATTGGTCTTTGATAATTCTTGAAATACTTTGTATATCTTTGAATTGAAACTCTAGAAGTATATACCACAATATATATTAAAAAGAAAATAAAATCTGTTTATTATTAAAAAAGAAAATAAATAAGGTTAAAACAAAATTTTGTGAAGTAAATATACAAATATGTAACTCTAGCATATTGGTAAGGGAGTGATTAATAGTGTAGTGAGGCTCCTCTTGATCATGGATTCGAGACCAGCATATTGGTAAATTTAGTTATTTGTTAGCCTACATATATGGCTCTTGTATTTGGTGAATTAAGCATGAAGAAATATTATTGAGTTCTTTATTTTACTTGCTTCATACTTATTTAATATTATTATTGTTTTTATCCTTTAGTACGTATTAGTTTCAATAGTCCTCTTATTTCTCTACTCCTCTTAATTCTTAAATCTTTATTTGTTTATAAATTAGTGATAATTAGATTAATTATTGATTTGTTTAATTAGTTTTGATATATTGTTGACATACAAATTGAATTTAGAAACTTAGAATTTTAAATTTTAACTTGGACTTTTAATTGATAATTAGAAAAATTTTACATTGTCAAATTTGTGTTTATTGGGGATTTGGAATTTTTGTTTTTCGTGTAACATTGATTTTTTGCAATATAATTATAGATTTATCATTTATAGAAGTAGTAATGTTTTAGCACGCTTTCAAAGTATAAAACTCGAAAAATGCTTTTGTAGGGTTTTTTTTTATTTATTATTTTGTAACTGTTTAATCCATCCATTTGTAATAAATAATTTGAACTTATATATTGAATATTTAATTAATATATGAGCATCGTTTGTTTTTTAAGATTCCGAACCCACAGTTCGGAATTACTGGATACGCCACTGGCCACATTAAATAATTTATGAAATAAAATTGATAAAATAATCAAGAAAATGCTTAAATAGTGAATACCAATTAGAAGCAATCAAGATTATAATGCTTAAATAGTGAATACCAATTAGAAGCAATCAAGATTATAATGATGAAAAACATATGATATACCTGTAACCGGTATAATTTCTGTTGGGGATGTTTAAACGGCACCGTATCGGGAGCAAAGAAACCTTCTTAACAGATACCAAAGGTGAAAATGAAACACCATTGACGAGGCGGTCACGTAAATTGTGAGATCGCAGAATTGTTTGTTGAATTATAGAGGAAGATGATGAAATTGATGCTGCCATTTCTTTCTAACTTGAAGCTTGTTTTATTTTTGTCAAGTAATAGAAATGAATAGATAGAAAAAAAAAAAAGAGAGATTTTATTATTTAAGAGCTTAGAATAATAGGAGTTATTACGTAAAATTAAAATAAGATGGGGAAAAATAATTGATTTGTAAGAGATGAGCAGAAAAATAAAAATGAATCAGTGCCACGCAATTCTATGGAGTGGGGTTTTGGATATTTGTAGTTTAGGATAAACTTTGGTTTTATATAAAAACAAAGGAAAAAAATAACAATTAAATATGACATGAACGATGTTACGTATGTGAATGTAAGAGTGTCTTAGAGATAAAATCTAGGAGGAGGTTCCACATCACCCTTACATTGTTTTGCGTTTGTATGAATCGATTACTCTGTCCCATTGTAGGCCTACCTTAAGCACATGTCACCTCATTCATCAAACAATCATCTTTGCATTGATTCACGAGTACAATTAAGCGTATAGTTGTTACAGACGATTTGTTTGACATGTTGGGCTAATTAGTAAATTCACGAGTACAATTTATTATTACATTGGTATTTTTAATGTAATACAGTATTATACTAGTTTAAATCCTGTGTAATGCACGATTTTTATTTAATCAAACTATGAATCAGTGAATTATAATGTTAATACAATAATAATTTTTTTTTTATATTTTTAATTGAAACAAATACTTGAATTTTTTTTCAAAAAAAAAATATTGAATTAATATTATATTGTTATCAAAAGTTATTGATTATTAAACATTAAAAAAACACAAAAAATTAATGATTATAGTGTTTTACATGAGAATGCAATTTATAATTATAACCCGTGCAATGTAATTATATACCCATATGTCCCTATTTTGTTGGCATGTTTTGACCGGCACAATATTTTATAGCATACTATAACTGGCACAATTTTTACAAATTTAATTGACTAATTTTTATGAAAATTAATAATCATGATTTTTTCATTTTGTTTTATATTTGTGTTTATAATTATTGAATTGTAATGTTATTACTCCCTCCGTCCCCAAATGATAGTCCCTTATGGGCAAATTTTAGTCCCAAAATATTCACCCCATTTGCTTTTTCCAACAACCATTAATATTAATTTTTTACCAAAATTTTCTCCAATTTGCAACAATATTTGTGCAAATTAAAATTTTCTAAGTAAATTTTATTTTTCCATGTACTTTTATTACTTTCTCTCTTTCAACTTTTTTTCATACCCAATGTCAATTTACTTTTTCAATGTACTTTTACTATTCTTATTTGTGCTTATTAATTCCCGTGAAAAATGTCCATAAGGGACTATCAAAAGGGGACGAAGGGAGTATTATAAAAAAAATCAATAAATATATAATAATAGCTAAAGTATCAAATCCTGGTTAGAGAAAAAAAAACTTTCAAAGAAAAAATACGTTGTAGAATGATACGAAGTACGGGAGTAGTACATTTTATTATTCTAATATTACCTTATTATGTGTTTGTTTATTATACAAAAATAACTATTATAAAAAATTTGAAAGATATGCATATAGAATATATTTCGTATATAGTTGCCATATTGAAAGTTAAATATCATAGGATATATAAAATAATATTAATGGAGATTTTAATTTGTACAAAAAAGAAAAAAATTGGAAAGAAAAAAGTGGCGGGAAATTTTTTAATCAGAACATGACAAATGTCATGTCAGATTCGCTTTTAGTATTATGTAATTGATTTATCGTGTTATTTTTAATGTACTACTCTCTCTGTTTTTAAATATTTGCTCGGGTTGTTCCACTTTTCTTTTTCGACCGTTTTTAAATACTTCTCCATTTTATTATTTGAAAAGCTTTTATAATATTTAATTAATTTTTCTCACCTAATAGACCCACCTTAAATCATACTCCCTCCGTCCCCGATTGATCGGAAATTCTAGGCCTCAACTAATTATAGTCCAAGAGGACTCAACTAAGGGTATTTTCGTAATTTAACAAAAAAACCCAAAAAAAAATTGTGAGTACCAACGATATATGTAGCCAATACCATCCTCAGTAATATTGAAATACCATCCTACAACCCGTTGGTATCATCATAGTATTGCGGTTGGCATCGTAAATAATAAGTATTCTTGTTGGTATAATTAAGTAGCTTTATAGTTGGTATCCTAACTACGACTTTGCTGGTATTTAGTTGCGTTCGATTGGTATCAGAGCCATACGGTTGAAAAATAAACTAAGTTGTTAATTTAGTTAATAATTAAGTAAAACTGGAGAATACTAGGCCCTCTACTGAGTGTAAGAAACCTGATTTTAAGTATTATTATCACATTCCTGAAAATACTAGTAATTTTGGCCCAATCCTTAATTATATAGTAGATCAAGTTGGCGAATTAAGATCGAAAGTTGATAACATACATGCTCTTGTGTTAATATTGAAAATAAGATATCAATAACCACAACCGATATTAATAAAAAAAAAGTAAACGACCTAAACGAACAAGTTAAACAAGTTCAACTTGCTTTAACAAACGAAGTTATGCATCAATTTGGAAAAAAAGCATCACCTAATAAAGAGAAAATTGTCCCATATAAATATAAATACCCTTTTCAAAATCTAGATAAAAATAAAATGTTTATTATATCACTCCCTAAAAGACCTACTAGTAATCAAGAAAAGAATAAAGAAACAAAAAATGAGCCCTCATCTTCAGGAGAAAACACTAACTGAATTGCAAGCCCTATTCGATAAGGAAGAAGACCCTAATAAGCTTAACGAAATCATGAACTTAATTTCCAAAAAAGGGATTGCTTCTGATAATGAAATAGAGGAAAATAATTATATTACTTTAGAGGAAGATTTATATCAACAAATGGGATTAATAAAGTTAAATGATCTAGACTTTCTACTCATAGAAGTTGTTCAACAAAAGATTGAAAACAAACTAGGTAAAAGAGTAATAGATAATAATGACATTGGAGAAGAAATTATTAATGAAAATATTAATGTAAACAACGTTATCCAAATACCTAGGTACCAAGGAGAAGGAAGTTGCACACGACCAAGATACATACCAAGGAAGACTACTCGGTTTAGTGTCAAGGTTATGCCTACTCATATACCTAAACAAGAAGAAGTGACTCTTGAACCTATAAGTCAAACTGGTTATAAACTTATTTTAGACGGTGTAAGAGATAGACAAGACGTTTTAGATCAATGGAAGAAGAGTATGAGTAGTGTACTTAATTTAAATACTGAACGGATTTCAGAAAATTTCTTAAATTATATAGAACATAATCTCTATGGATGTGTAGAAGACTGGTACGATGGAATAGATGAAGAAGTCAAAACTGCATTAAGAGCTAGTGAATCACCTACGAGAATGTTCAGGCAGTTATATCAATACATTGAGTTAGAGTTCATTGGTCCTAGAGCCGATCCTAATGAGAAACGAATGGAATATCAAAGAAAGTTAAGTAATTTGTCCATCTGTAATATGAAATATATGGAATTTGAAACATATTATTATAAAATTGGTGAAAATGAAACAAATCTTGGAATGTTCTATGACAAATTACCCATTTCTCTTAATGAAGAAATTAGTGAAAAATATCAAGAATGGAGAGAGAGATTCTTAGCCAGGGACGCCCTAGGAAACATAATTGCTTTCCTTAGAAAGTGGATTGAAAAGAAGTGTAGAGAGGTTGCAGGAACTCAACAAATGAAGAGACAATTTCTCACTTGTTGGGATTTCCCAAATAACTATGGATGTGAAAGAAAAAAACTATAATAAAAGAAGGAATTATAAGAAAAATAAATTTGACCGATTGAGAGGAGAAACTTATAAGAAAAAATATTATGAACATAAATATAGAAAACCAAGTAGGTTTTTCATAAAGGCAACATATTGTCCTGAGAAAAAGAAGACATGCAAGTGTTGGTCTTCTAGAGAATTAGGACATTATGATAATGAATGTAAGAAAGCTAACCATAAACCAATGGAAGCCTTAGGAAGTTGGGATTACATAAAATTACCAGAAGACGAGGCTTTAGAATTGACTTTAAGTAATAATAAAGGAATAGTAGAAATCATAGAAGAGGAAAATGAGTATAATGAAGAACCTGAAGTTAGTGATGAGTTTGAAGATGAAAATTATGATGAAGAAATAAATAATATGATGGAAGGAGAAGAGTTAGAAAATTCAGAATCAGATGACAATGAGGAAAATAAAAACAAAATGAAAATAGGTCAACTAAAAAGAGCTGAGTATTCATTTGAAGATAACGACCTAGATCAAGTAAACTAAAAAAGCTGGAATTTTCCCCAAATTACTAAAGATAAAATATTTAAAACTTCTTTCTTTAAAACTAGAACTAAATATGTATATATGTGAAGAAATGGAAGGAAGCATAGTAATCGAAGATTGTAAACAAAAGGCAACCAAAATTAATATCATAAATTGGAAAAGTATTAAAAAAACATAAAGAAAAAGGAAATTATAGCTATATTTGTATTGATGCAGTACAAGTATACATAACTCCTTTGCAAGATTTTATCAAGGATGTTAAATGCTTGAGTTTCATTTGTGATATTAGACATAAGAATTTTATGATCAAATAATTAGTGGTATCACATGTAACTTAAGTCAAGGAACGGTAAGCTATATATGTGAACCTAGATATTATGTGAGCTTAGAGGATTTCTTTGCGTCAAAGTTTTTAGCTATTAAGTTATTAACAGAAGAAGTGAAAATGCATAAAGGAACACGACCCATACAATTAAGATGGAAGGTGGTTTATAAGTTGGTAAACACTATAGACTCATCGTTTAAGAAACAAATAGTCAATGCTCAGAAATATGAGCAAGGAGGAGGTCCTAAGAAGAAAATTACACCTATAAAAGTAAATCCTAATGAAATTGAAATTTAAAAAAATTGGGAGGAATTCTTTATGAACCTTGCAGTTAGTAATAGATCAAGTAAGATGCTAATTGATGAATCATGATTACTTCATATTGGAATGAATACAAAACCTAAAATACAGAGAAATCTGAGTCTTAGAACACCAAGTTTAAGTAGACAAAATTCAATAATAATAAGAATGAAAAAACAAGGTGATGAAAAGCCAGAAGAGGATGAAGAAGAAATATTAGTTCTACTAAAGAAACTAAATGAAAAATATGAAAGTAAAAAAGCTTTAAAACAATCGGCAATGCACAA